TTATGTTCTACAGATTTTGGATTATGGGAATTCGAATAAAAATTTCCAACTGCCCACATTACTGTTCTATGGCGTCTCCACGGTTACGGTAATTGACTTTTCAGAAGAGTTTCGAAATATCAACAGAAAGAGTTTTTTCGAATCGTAGAATCGTAGTACAAAGAGGAAGACACAAAAATTATTTTCGAGACAATCGAACTATTATATTGAAAGAGAATTAAAGATATTTCTCCGAACTCCCCCAAGTTTTATCGCGGATTCGAATATATCGCGTTTTTTGGTCCTCCAAATTTTAAAAGCACTTAAGTCAATAAATTTTAAATTACTAATTACCATTGAATTTCTTTTTGTAACGAAATACGGCATTTTATCGCTACTAATGTCCCGGAAACTACACTATAGGCGAAACAATAAATTCTTCAACGTGTAAATAAAGATAACAGGTGGTCAGATAAATTATCATTTATGTTTCCTTTTCATATTAAAAGTTGTTTGTTTATTGGTTTTAAGCGCTGTTTCCTCGTTTACAAGTTTCCGTCAATTCGAAATTTCACAGCATAACCTGCGAGGAAAAGTTTTCATTATTTCTGAACGGAAAGTTCAAAACTTTTTATACAGTAAGTAACTTTATTTCGCTTTTTAGACAAAAAACGGTGATGGTTTTAAGTTTTGATATTCTATGTTCAATACTGTATTTATTTTTAAATTTTCAATCAATGTATTTATAATTTTTATTGAAAAATATAAATTAAACGAATTTTTAATAGGAGATTTATTGTGAAATATTGTACTGTGTAATAAAATAGCAACCGATACTTTCTTTTTATATCGACAGTATTTGTCTTTAAATGTCATTGTTAAAGAAACAATAATGCTAAATGACTGTTGGTGCTATACGATGTTTACGTAAACGTCAATTAATACGATATAATCGCAAATATAATTTAATATTGTAAAAATAAGTTTATTTTATATCGAAAACACTTGTCAATGAAAGAACAGAGATTAGAATAGAGATTCCATAGCATGTATACAGTGGCGTAGCTATATATTTAGTGCCCCGGAGCAAGTAGAATCGGTGTTCGGTTTTCCCTTGTTCTTCGAAAGGGGTCTGGCGAAATTTATTTTGAACATTTAATTCAGAAACATATACAGTAGAGCGTCAATTTTCCGAATCAATTGGGGACTGGGGTTGTCCGGATAACTGATTTACGTATGAAAAAATAGTTTAACGTATCCGATGTCGAAATTTTTCTCCGTTGCGTGTCGCTTCGCGTTGAATTTTCGTCGATGACAAAACTATTGTATACTGCCTAACAAAGACTATTGTATCGTTAAAAATTATTTTTTTATTTTGTACAAACAAAATAAATATATTGAAAAATATAAAAACAATAAAAAATTATACTTCAGAAGTTAATTTAGTATGAAAAACGTAAAATATTTGTGTAGCCCAAGATATAGCCAAAGATTGAAGCGCCACAGCACTGGCGAAAATTTAAATTTGCGGACTGGAATTCTTTCGGATGATCGACTTTCGGAAAATCGACGCTCTACTGTATTTAATTATTTCGATTTAAAACCTTACTTAATAACAATTTATTTGAGATTCGAGGCATTTCAACAAGAAGATATCCATTTTAATAAATATAAATATAATAAAACAAAATATCTCTTTAAGTACGGAGTACCTAATAATATTTACTACTACATATTATATAAACTGTATTGACAAAACGTATGCAAGTTTACTTTCATAACAAATACATAAAACATCTTCAAGATTGCTGTTTTCTGTCTTTTTCGTTTCAAATCGGTCAATCACTTTCTCGGGATCAAGTTGACAAACTATTGTTTTTCAATCGATATAGTCAGTAGCCAGAGCTGAGACCGTGTTGTGACTGTGACACGCTACTTCTTAAATACGTTTTGATTAATTTTAGTTTTGAAACTTCGTTCTGCTGTCGCTGTCGTCGCTGAGTTCGAGAGTTCCAAAATGCTACTAGAGTAGCCGCTACAAAAATTGTTCCCGAGTTTTTGTCAATTTTGTGCGGAGTAATTTATTTCTTAGTGAAGTGATGAGTGGATATTGAATCCGGAAGTGATCCTGAATCGAAGGATAGCAGTTTCATAGGGGTGCGTCGCAAATTATATTATCGGAGTAATCCTTGATTTGACGACAGAAATCTTCGGATCGATTTTAAGGAAAGGACAACGGAATGTCATCGACGGTGTGACAGTGAGTACTGACCAACAATTTTGGGGTCCTACGACCGTTAGTTTTTAAATTATCAATGACTTCCGGTTATTTTTCGGCGGGCCGTAGCGGGCTTCCGGTGGGAAATTCCCGAAAAAGTTTTAACACTATCGTCTACTGGGTGTAAATATTATCAACAGAAATTTTTGTGACATTATGTTCTACAGATTTTGGATTATGGGAATTCGAATAAAAATTTCCAACTGCCCACATTACTGTTCTATGGCGTCTCCACGGTTACGGTAATTGACTTTTCAGAAGAGTTTCGAAATATCAACAGAAAGAGTTTTTTCGAATCGTAGAATCGTAGTACAAAGAGGAAGACACAAAAATTATTTTCGAGACAATCGAACTATTATATTGAAAGAGAATTAAAGATATTTCTCCGAACTCTACCACTACGATATTATAAGTTTTATAGCTATTAATCTTACGCTGTTACTTTAAATTTTAAATTTTATTATTTATATCTTATTATAATAATACACTATAGTATGGCTCAGGATAGAATTACAAGATTTTTGGATGATTCCTTTCTTATCATAGATGAAATAAGGGAATATTTTAATAACAACCCACACAGGCGCCTCAATGGCAAAGACCATATCTATACTACTATATTAATATAAAGAGACAACGTATTTTTCGTTTGTGACCACTAATCGCGAAAACTACTGAACCAATCGTTACCAAATTTTAACTGTAGCATCTTTATGACCCCCGGAATGTTTACCACTAATCAAACCTGCAGATTTTTTGTTAAACATTTATATAAATTAAAAGATATAATCTAGGTTAAGGCTTTTGGGTCCAACAGATGGCGCTACGAGTATGACGCCCTAAGTTTGCTTTTCTGTGAGGATGAACTGAAGCGGATCATCTTCTATCTATCTATATAAATAAAAATGTAATGTTCGTTTGTTCCTACCAATTCCTTTGAAATTTACACACAATTCGAATACGCACGTGTTTTTATATAATATACGTGTCGAAATTCCCCCACTGAAGGGAGATGGTTAGGATTAAGGCTTACAGTAAAGAACTCTGCTTCTATTTATACTATTTTAGATGCGGTTTTTTGCGTTTTTGATTGCGTTTTAATAGGGTATGTCAACAGAATATACACTAAAAAGGGATTTTTCAATATTTTCCCCGGGGGGAGAAGAACAGGATTAAGGCTTACCTTGAAGAACTTGGCTTCTACTATACTATTTTACATGTGGGTTTTTGCGTTTTTTATTGCGTTTTAATGGGGTACGCCAAGAGAATGTACACTAAGAAGAAATTTTTCGAAAAATTCCCCCCCCACACGGGGGAAGTGTTATACATTTATAATAGATACATTTTGAGCCACAACAACGCATGGCGGGGTCTGCTAGTAAAATATATTACAGGGCAAATTGCTAAAATTGTTAGTATGGCTGAATCAGCCTTAAGAGAACAGTTTATCACAGACACAATTAATGAAGGACTGGCTCTCCTTTCTTCCAAGTCTTATATAGAGGCACAAATATCAAATTTAACAACACAAGAAGATATAAAACACGTTGCGGAGGCCACATACAAAATCGGACAGGAAATTAATAACATCAAAGATACAATTAAAACTACTTCTAGGTGGACAACACATGAAGATCTTCAACTAGTTGTCGAGGCTAATAACCAATTAGACCAGGAAACAAGTGATCTTAAAGCTAATGCAAAAATTCCTCTCTATAATACTTCTGAATCGACTGATGGTAAGCTATTATACAGCGAAGTTCTGAAATGCAATGGCATCAATAAAAATACTAAAAAGGCTTCCTATCATACCCTATTGGTCTACTCTAAAGACAATATCGTCGGATCTGAAGGCACCAAAGGGCGCATTAATTAAAGAAGATTGATCCAACTCAACTAAAGGTTGGGATTAGAGGGATGAGGAAAATCGATAAAGGAGGTATTGCAATAGACGTGACTACCCTAAACGAATTAAATATAATCAGGACCGCAATACAGGAAAGTGCACCCAATCTTAACACAGTTGTGCCAACTAAACGAAGACCGAAAGTGTTACTAAAACAAGTGCCCAAAGACTTATCGAAGGAGGAACTTGGTGATTGTATATATGATCAGAATGAGGCTATACAGACCCACTTCACAAGGATAAAATTTGATAACGAATTTCAACTGAGATTTGTGATTCGAGGAAGAAGCAGCAATTCGATAATATGAATTGCAGATGTGTCGCCCGGCATGTTAAAGATTCTCACAAAATTAAGAAAGATCAACGTTGAATGGGTCCACTGTGGGATTGAAGAGCATTTTTCCACCTTGCAATGTTACAAATGTAAGTTTGGACATACTAGTAAAACATGCCAGGAAGAGAAAGAAACATGTAGCCAGTGTTCTGGCAACCATCGTTTTAAAAATTTCCCAGACAAAAACAAACATCCGATCTGTACAAATTGCCACACACATAAGGAGGGGAAAGGTAAACACAATTCGTTTGAATAATTATTAATATAAATCCGCCATTCGAACGCCTTTCCCGGCTACGTAAATCTACGAGAGCATTATTTGGTTTACGTAACGGCTTATTTTTCGACTCGGGGGCGACGCGGGATAGACAGACCGTCGCACTCGTTTTTTTTCACCAAAAATAAATCTAACGTTCATATTTTACGTAAATCGTTTAATACGAGCGAGAAAAATCATTACGCGCCGTCGATAATTCCGGAGTAATTGAAAGAGCGGAACTTACCAAACCTGGATAAGACGACTTTCAACGCCAGTTTCCACGTCAAAAAATGGCAGTAAAATTCCGTGTTTTTAAAAGCGATAAAAATCTGTTTCCTTCTTTCCAGAAACTTATACACCGCGTATATTATAGAAATAATAGCAAATATCTTCCATCCGTAATTACTGGTAAAAATTTCGGTAAGAGCAGCCATGGCTTACTTATTCCACGCTCTTCGTGTACTGCAAAAACGATCTGAAGGCGAAATTTACAGAAAGGTAAATTTGTAGCGCGAGTTTGTTAACAGGAACTGTGTAGATCGGCGGGAAATTATTTTCGCGGTGACGACCAATCGTAGTTTTTTAAAATTTCTACCGCGTTTAGCCAGCACTTCCAGTTAATTATGACGTACGCCGGCATTAGGTGTTCTGGGAGAATGACGTTCTCCCCACCGTCGCGGCTTTTCGTATTACGCGTAACTTCGACTTCTTACTGTTTAATCGCAATATTTAATACTTACTTATTGTCCGAAGATAGGCGATCGACCGACGATAATTACTAAATTTTCAATTACCTTATTATTATACTACAATATATATTATTTCCTTTTAGCTCACGGAATGTTTACATTATTCCTAAACGCGGGTATTTTGTAATTTTATCAAATATACTACAAACATATCAAATATATTTGATATATAGTATATATCAAATATATACTATAATTTCGTTTTACTAACGGTTACTTTCGATATTAAGTTCGCTTTCTTTCGCTATTACGTCGCTTAGAGGAAATTATTTCTTGGAATTAGATAAATTAACCCCCGATCTGTACAAAGTACGATTTACGTAACGGGGGAAAGGCTTTACGGGACTCCTACTCGACTTTTCCCCCCGTCCTCGAACGGACGGGAACGTCCAGACGAGACGGGAGGAGCCGGGAATCCCGGACTCCGCCAGTCCCAGAGCCGTACAGAAGGTCGTAGGATTTTGTTCTTTTATACGTCTCCCTTTTTTATAAAAGTTGTCGATGTCTATAACGAGTAAAATTTTCACGAAATCGACCCGACCCCAGATAAATTAATAACCGACACTCTTCCCATCTCGCCACCATTTCGTACATAGAATAACTCCGTGGAGTTTCGAGTTTCGGGTCCGAAGTTTAAAACAAACTAGAGGCAGACACGCGCTCGCGTGGGTGCGAGTGTTTTCGCTTAATTTGACGTTTTTGTTAACGTCGAAAACGACTTTTCGGCGCGCGACGAGAAGCTACGGGTGCTAACTGTTTTATCGTTTATTAGATTATAAAATTATTCGTTATAAATTAATAACGTCCAATTAGCGTAGAAAATCTAGGAATATGGAAGACCGAATTTCTTGGGATAATTTGGTTAAGTAACTATTTGGCGGCCGGCTTTAAAAGGCACCGGCGACGAGTCACTTAAAGTATCCCGGCAACGTTTGATGGCGCATTATGATATTATGATATTATGATGCCATTATGATATTTTATTCTAAAATGTTTTAATACTTTTAACTATTATAAAAAAATGAAATTTGACGTCGACTGTGGACGGGCTTGTCGTCATTCTCCATTTATATTTAAATTTCTCGTAAGCTTTCGTGGCTGACGCGGTTCCTATTTCAACCAGCTTTTTTCCCTTTGGAATAGGAACCGCCACCGCAATGCTCCCATTAGCTTATTTAATTCACCGATATTTGTTATTTAACCGGTTTTATTATTTTCCACGTGTATTAATAAAGAGAAACAAAAAAATCACCGAGAAAAACCATCGACTAACTTTTTAGAAGGCAAAGTCCCCACTTTCTATTTTCACTTCGAGTTTAAAGACGCTCGTTTCGTGCACTCTTCCTCCACTAACGACGGATTAAATAATAATTTATAGTTCTCTTTCTCCCCTGACCCGAAATATAAAAGTTTCGAAAGCCTTCCGAGCGACGGTTTCTTTTCTTCTGGCCGAGTAAATCGGAGGCGTGGAAAAGGCCGACCCGGTTTATCCCACCATCCGCCGTACCCCGGTCCCGGCGCAAGTAAAACTTATTAATTGTATTAATTATTCAAATATCTTAAATTTCTGTCTTAGCCCGCCCGGGGAAACTTCCGGATCCGCCGTCGTCACCGTACGTACGAAGCCCTATCGCGGGTATTGGTAGTATTCCGATTCATTTTCTATCGACGTTTTTACCCCGACAATCGAATCGAATACCGAATATTTGTCGTCTCGAACGTCGAATACTTTTTTATATTCTCGTATTGGCCCGTCTCCGATAAAAACTGCATTTCCACACCCGTGCTGGGAAAATAGATGGTCGGTAATTTACTTTGAAAAAATATTGGAATTTAACAGAACATTCGAAATGTTTCGAAATTCCTCGTACTGGCGGATTAATTCGAATAAATAATTATAGAATTAGAATTTGTGACGAAACGCGCGGCGAGTAATAAATAGATGCGGCGCGGTTCATTCCCGCTCGGTTCTCCGAACGTTTACAATTACAAAAGTTACCGGTGCGTGCGAGTAAAATACCGGTTTTCAAATTTAATTAAATATAAATCGACGATGACGAGAACGTAGTCGAGGTCGAACCTCGCCTTTTTAAACGAGTGACGAAAGGGTGTGTAATCGAGATTTAAAGATGACCGATCGGTTGCGAAATCTATAAACGAAGCCAGTCGTTTTAATTAATTAAGCCTCGCCTTATTCACCAACGAGGATGGAATTCGAATCGAAAGCGAACAAATAAATGTCTATTTAAGTCGAAATACCAGAGTATTTAATATTTAAATTCGGACGTCGACTCGACCTTGGCTTATAAATACGAATAGTCGTCAATAACTCCGATCGACCCGGAGAAAGTATAACTTTCCCATCATTTCCCTCTATCGTTTCTTTCGATGCGTGACGATAATATAAGATTTCTGCATTTTCGTTTATTTATTTGGGAAAACCAGATTTCTATATTATTTTTATATTTTATACTCGGCTCGCCGTCGAAAATATTTTCCGTCGCGCCGCGACTTACGTTAAATAATTGATAAAACACGCCGGTATCGTTAGCTTCGATTTAAATATTTAGCGGAATCGAATTCTCCACCGAACTATTAAAAAACGACGGATCGGCAAAAAAAGAAAAACAGATAAAAAAGTAGGAGGAGAAACTTTTTATTCCAGGAGAACTTGCCCGGCACAGACAAGCGCATTATAAAATTCAAAATTCTCTATTCTAATGTCTGGTATTTACGTTACCCTAATTAAAAAGTCAACCTAATACGATATACGTATTAACGGCGTTTTCGCTACAGTCAAATCTCCATTTACGAACTTAATTCGTTCCTAAAAATTGTTCGGAAACCGATTCGTTCTCGAATCGAATCAAATTTTCCCGTAACAAACGATGTAAAATGGAGAAATCTCTTTCCCGTTCTAGGAACGAAGCTATTTGTTTTTTTATTTTTTATCCTGTTTATATAGCCTATATCCATTTTATATATACGAGTATACGAACAATTTATTGGCACACGGTCAAAATGCCGAGCTGCAATTTTTAATTATATTTTTAGTTTATTTATTTAATTTAAGATATGCGCTCTCTACCTGAAATTAGGGGGGCTTGCCCCGCGCATCGTACTTTTCCTTTACCGATCTATTCGTGCCGGTCGTTTGTCTCGTTCTTTTCGGGGGAATTTCCGATCGAAATAATATGACTTCCGGTTTATATCGAACGTTCGGCGCTCATGTATCTTCCTTCCGTTCTCGAGTTTAAGGAAGGACGGACGGTTGGAATTTATAGATGTACAATTTTTTCAAATTGCGGTCCAATTAAAAGCCAATGTTTTGTCACCGCCGGCAGACAATTAAGGCGAAACCGAAACTAACAGTAGAGACTGGGCCCTGCCCGGATAAAATATAACCGAGAGAATGAAGGCAACGAGTACTTTATCCACACTCCGAAATATTACGTTTCGATCGCTATGATTCAAATTTTAATTTTAACTTAAATTAATTAATTAATTTCGATTTTATTTTTGATTTTAGTTTCAGTTCCGGTGTAGAAACCAAAATTTTAATCATTATTTTGTTATTTGTAATTAACTGGCTACCCAGTATTAATAAATATTATAATATATAATATATTAATAAATTTTTATAATTTAACTCGAGCTAAGCACTAATAAATACAAATTATTACGTGTTATTTATATTACGCCAATGTCGATTAAGGTGGTTTTTATTAATTAATTTGATGTAAATTGAATTGCCAGCGTACCGAAAACCGGAAGTATATTACCCGCACGCGCATCGAAATCTAATTTAAATAACAACGTCTTGTATGGTTAGTATTGTTTGTCTTGTATCGGCCAGTTGGGCGCGAGCTTCCAGGCTATATCACCTAAGGCGCTGGATAACCCGGGTTCTTAGAAAGCGGACGACTCTCGTACAAGTTCGATAGAAGCGACACGAAAATAATCATAAATTCAACTGCATCTTAAGATTTTGCCAGGTCGAAATGATAAACTTTGCCAAAAATTAATGCAATTACAGTTATAAAATACAGCTAAATTCAAAAGCGAGTATAATTTAGATGGGAAAAAAAGTTAGGGTGAGATCAATTGCAAAGACAAAGTGTAACAATAACTTGGAAAATTTGGCGGGTGTAA